TCATGCGTTTCATGGCACTTTTACCTATGTGACCTAATCTAACATGTCATAAAGAAAATAAATCAATCATGTAAGCAAAATCAACTTATTGATTTCATTGTCAATGGTACAAAGTTCGACAATTCCTTCACATAAATAGCCATTTCCAACAAATTTCCCGTTAAGTGATAATACAAGTTTACTGGACTCAAATACACTTTTAATGTCCGATTTTCCCAAAAGATTTCCATTCATTAAGTTCCTATTTATATCCGGAACATGTAGTACATTTGTGAGAGCAAGTTTTTCCCAGAGGTGAAGATAATTTCTACACTTTCTTTTCCAATTACTTTGGATCGCACCTTGTTACCCATTTGGATCTCTTGGTCTCCATCTACTTTATTGTATGTTTTGAACAAAAATTTGTCATATGATACATGCATCTTAACACAAATATCATATCACCAGCCGGGAACATTTCCCTTAATTGCATTTATTTCGCTCATGGTGGCTACAATCTTGTCTTCTTGGATGGAATTCACTTTACCCTTGGAGTTGTTGTGTTTTCGGTGTCTACAATCTTTTGCGTAGTGTCCAAATTTCCCACAAACAAATCATCCTCCTTTGGTCTTCTTGAACTTATTAAGGTTCCTCGAAAACTTCCTTTTGTTAGATTTTATTGACGATTCAGATTTTTCTACAGCATTTGTTTTGGAAGTGCCCTCATGAGAGTCACTTTTATCACTCATTCTCGACTCTTCCTCAATCCGAAAATATTTTTACAATTATTTCAAAAAATAATTTTCAGAACTATACATTGTCTTCTTTCGGTATCCTTTCTAAGTTTCGGGAAGTTTGGCAATTATATCCCCCACTTGAAAGGTCTCCGGTATTTCAATTTTCATCGCCTTCAACTTATTGACAATTACTTGCATTTCATGTATTTGGGGAAGAAGGGGAATATTCTCTAAAAATTTAAAATCGAAGTACTTAGAAATTAAAAATTTCTTTGAATCTTTTTCTTTCGCTTTGTACTTACTTTCGAGTGCATCCTAAATTTCCTTTATCGAAGTTGTATTTGTATATAAGTCATACAAGCGATCCGATAATGCATTGAGAATATGACCAAGGTATATTAACTCATCTTCTTAGTGCTTTTGTCTTTTATTTCTCACCGCTTCGGTTTCTCCATTCATTGGTTCCGGTAGTGGTGTAAGATTCGGATCTAAGATGTAGAAGATCTTCAATGCAGTGAGAAGACACTTCAATTTGTCTTTCCAACGAATGTAGTTTGTTCCATCGAACCGATCCAATCGCACTAAATCTTGGTTCATGAGTTTTATGGTTGCCATTGTAGTCTCGCTCTCCATCACAGCAAATAACGTTTGAGATTGTTGTAAATATTGGAGGGATGAAGAAGAAACAAAAAGAAAATTCACAAGAAATATGGCAACAATAGGAACAAAACCAGAAAATTGTAATAACAAATGTGAAGGCTTGAACGCAGGATCGCTGTCCTCAAACGTTAATTGCCCCCTCTCCGGTGTTTATGATATGTTTAAGGGTATTTCGAAAAATGGTTTGAATGATTGTAACAAGCCTTGTAAAGAATTTCACCAAAGCACAAAGTGAAATTCTTTCAAAACTTAAAGAACGCAAAGATAGAATGAATATGAATGTAAATCGGGACTTGATTGTTTTTGGACCAAAGTATGAATTGTAAGATGTTTTCAATGTTTGTAATGTATTTATTTTGATAATTCATCACATATTTATAGGCTTCAATCAATACATCACGAAATGATGTTTTTTAACACTATGCGTACGCATAGTATAAACCTTGCGTATGCATAGTAGAAGCAAATTTGATTCTGATTTTGCCAAAACACATCTAATGTACGCACAAAATTAAGCCTGTGTATACGCATTGGCAAAAAATCAAATTTTGCATTTTTCAATTTCTTTTGATTCTACCAATTCCATAATTGAGCACAACAATTAGTCCATTATTATTCCATTGATTTTAAAAAAATATTCAATAGAATATGTATGGAAAGACAACGTGCTGAATTTAATCTTTGCTGGTAAAGACACCGTAAGTGCAGCTCTTACATGGTTTTTTTGGCTTCTAGCAACAAATCCGATCGAAGAAAACAAGATTTGAGAAGAAATCATGACAAATTTACAAGTTGATGAAACAGGAAAATGGAAATTTTCCAACAGAGACGAGCTAAAGAAACTTGTTTATCTACATGGTGGACTATATGAAGCATTACGCCTATTTCCACCAGTGGCTTTACAGCACAAAGCTCCAATAAAGCCAGATATTCTTCCCAGTGGACACAAGATCAAGCCGAATACAAAAATTGTTTTATCCTTCTATTCAATGGGAAGAACGAAATCCATATGGGGCGAAGATTGTCTAGAGTTTAAGCCAGAAAGGTGGATTTCCGAACAAGGACAAATAAAACACGAACCCTCTTTCAAATTTACAGCATTTAATGCAGGGCCAAGGAGCTGTTTGGGGAAGGAGATGTCTTTCGTTCAAATAAAAACAGTTGTAGCCTCCATTATAAGCAGTTTTCGTATTCAAGGTGTAAAAAGCCATGCTATAGCTCCATGTAACTCCGTTGTGCTTCATATGAAACACAGTTTGAAGGTTACTATTTCAAGGAATATTTGATCAATCCTATAAATTGACAAGAGATCAAGCTGAGGATTGGGAATAAAATGTGGTTTCTGTCTGTAATTTGCTTATTGTATCTGAGATGTTTGTAATAATGTATTAATATGCTTGGTTAAATGAACGATGATAAAGTTATAAATTTGATAATTCAAAATTAAGGGGGATGCCCTCAATTGAAATTGCAATGGATTTTAAAAGTCATTCTAAATTTAGGTATCTTCAATTGAGATTTTATTGAATTTTAATTAAATCCATTAAAATTTAGGTGTCCCCAATTAAAATTTTAATTAAATCCTTTAAAATTTAGGTATCCTCAATAATTAGTGGATTTATAAAGATTTCATTAATAGAAGGATTTTAAAAGATTTGGATGGATTTCAAACTTAAAAATACATATAAGTAAATCTTTTGAAATTTCACTATATTTGATGAGATTCTTATGAAATTTGTAAGAATCTATTTAAATTCATCAAATTCATTAGAATTTATAATTATTTAAAATTCATTAAAATTTTAGTTGAGAACACTCCTGTAATTTTATCTTTATTTTTACATTTTCTCACTTGATTCATCAATCACATTTCATAAAATTAATATTTTCCCACTGATTAAATTTCCAATAAGATAAAGGAATATTGCAAGATCAGTCTTGAATGTATGGCTCTTGACGCAACTTGGTCATCGACTTATTTTTGGACATTATGATCCTCAAAGAAAAGGAAAACAAAAACTTCATATCATCCATGAGTAATGGACATAATGATGCTACGAAATTAAGAAGACAATGAATGATATTACCAAAAAAATAAACATATACATTTATTTTAAATAGCATACACCCTTTTTACACCAATGATCCAAATAAACTTTTACTAATGTCGTGGGCTTTAAGATGCTACTTTCTATGATTTTTACGAGTCAAGTCAAAGTTGAATAAGAAAAAGAAACAAAAAACTCGTTGAGCCTAAGGCTAGGGCCCGGCAAAGATGGATCCAGGATTAGATTCCAAGATCGGGGTACTATACCAGAAAAAAAATTAAAATAAAAAATTGGGTTTTTACCAAAAAAAATAAAAAATACCTTAAAAAAATGTTATTGGGCCTGAGTGGGGAGACTACATCCCAGCCCAGCCCTCCAAATCCGTCTCTAGGGCTCGGGATGGCTCAGGCTTTGACATGGGCATGCATGCAAGGGCGGACCTGGGGGTTTCTATAGGATCAATTGACCCTCCAGTTTCTGCCTTTTTTTTGCTGGTTTTTTTATTTTTTTATTATTTTAGAGTGTCAAATTTTAAAACTTACACTATAAATATATTATGCAACTGACAGCTTTAAACTCAACTTTGTGCATTTGTCTCTCTCTTCCAATCCGTCGAATACGGACTGGTATTACCATTTACAGTTTACCCACTATTTGGAAGTTTGATTATGACCCTTCTAACCGAAAGGGTCTGGGTCAGCACCTACGTGCATGCCTCATTTTAGACCAACCAAAAATTATTCGTACTTGATTGAAAAAATCCACTCACACTTTCAGTTTTGATGAAGAAAACTAGGACACGTGTGAGATTCATTTGGATCTAGGCATGGGAAGCTCAAATAAAGGAGAAAATGGAAATTTGGAGAGGGGGGAATTGATTTGTTGTCGATGGTTAGTATATGGTTCATAATTTTATATATTTTTCTTCTCAAGAAAATCTTCACGAGAAATCTTTGATTTTTATCAAAGTTTTGATTGTTTCCTTGTTGAAATTTCCACCTTACTCGTTTTCTTTGTAGTTGGAGGACTTTTGGTGATGAAAATAATCCCCCTTTAACCTCTTCTTTTTTCAAGCATCGTTAGTGGTCGAGTAACTTGTCTTGATTATAAATAGCATAATACAAGTGGATTTTTTAAAATGGTTGGTCATACCTCTAACTTTGAATAATAAAATTCCATATTGACACTTGCATTAAAATTTTAACGATCAAGATTTTTCCATCTGTTGAACATGCATGTTCAGCGGCCGTTTGAGCTCCATTCTAGCTCATTAAAATGAGTTCTCAACAGTACATTGATTGTTAAAAAATTACAAAGTACACAGTGTGTTGTCAGGTCGCAAATTCTTGTAGAAAGCCTAAAAATTCAAAATGTCAAAAATATTCTCATTTTTAAAACCAATTTCCAAAATTAACCCTCATATTCCTTCACTTTTAATAAATTTCCCACCATATTATCTGAGGGGTAAACTGGTAATGTTTATTCTTGCTTGTGCAAATTTCCCCAAAAGTCAAACATGGATTTGTTGAACTCATAATTTCCAACAACTCTATCCTGGTGGTCCCCACTGATGCAATGAATGAGAATGGCCAAAAATGGAGTCAAACGGCGGCTCAATTCACGCGATAATATTTGAATAATTTGTTTGGTCAATAATAATTGAGTAAATTAATATGCTGTCTTCTTTCAAAATGGAGAATTGCTTTTCCTGTCAAATCACCGGGCCCACTTGATCATTCAATGCAAAGTATTATGTGTATTTGTCCATTTTGCCCTCACATGCCTCCCATTTTTGCAATGTGCTACTCAATTGAAGGGCAAAAATGAGAAAAAGCCCCTAAGATGTGTACGTGAAAAGTCTGAGAAGAGCCGGCACTTTAAATTTTTCAAATGGTTAAAGACAAGGCATCGGTCCCAGAAATTGATTTTTATCTGCTTTAAAGCGGGACCAAACGTGTTAATTGCAGTTGACGAAAAGTAAACAATTAGCTGTCAACCAAGAAAAAATGAGAAATATGGCCAAAGAATAGACGTTCACTTCTTGATATATAAGTACAGAATTTACCTCTGAAATTCGCATGCTGCTGGTCCATATTTGCAACAACTTACCGACAGAGATGAAACTCGCGAAGGTGGCGCCAAGGCGGCAACTAGATTTGCTGCTAGGCTTATGCTTTTTTTTGACCATATCTCTGGTAGAGATGCCTCGGGCTCAAGCTCAAACCCGAAGAAATGCCACCACTGATCCTTCTGAAGGTACGTTCATGCACCCCTCTGCTCTCTTCCCACCAGTGCGCCACCTACAATTTAAGTTACTATGTTGAAGGAAGTAAACTATAAACATCTTCATAACTAAAGACTTAATTTAAATTTAAGTTATTTTTAAGATTTAGGATAACATGTTTGTTGAATCCTTTATTTGTAAGTTCAGTTTATTTATTAATTCAAGATAGACGAAGCTTAAATTTTTATAAGAAAAATTATAAGTGGTAGATTTTTTGGAATTTTGGATAATAATTTTGTGGTAAATTAAGAATCATGTTAAATATTTAGATAAAAAGTATGTTTGATTAGTTTAAAATTATTTCGTTTTGTCAATCATGAGGTTAAATGCATTATTGACCATTATATTTTACACAATGTTTCCCATTTGATCACTGAACAATAAAACATATTGATTAGCCACTGAGTTTACCAACCTGTTCTATTATCCCTTTCTCCAGGGGCGGAGTCAGGATTTTAATTTAGTGCGGACAAAATTTTTTTGACGCCAAACGTCTAGGTTTTGGTCATGGATTTAATGATTATAAAAAAAAAAAAATTTCTATTGGGAGTGGGAGCAATTCTATAAGAAAAGGCAAAGCAAAGTAATTCACAGGACAATTCCATTCACATAGGCCATAGCAATACCAATATTATAAGCAATTCACAGGGCAACAAGCCAAAACATTCATCGATTCACATATTCACAGTCTCATTCACAAGGCAATATATACTACTTCAAAATTTCAGTGACAGAGAGTAAGCAAGCAACTCACAGTGTAAAGGCAGTGGCAAACTGCAATGCCGCTTCCAGTTCGAGCAATTGAAGAGTTGCTAATTGCCTATGTCCATATGTTAAATAAAAAAAAAAAAAAAAAACCCCAAAAACAAAAAAAAAAAAAAAACATAAAAAAAAAAAAAAAATTTAAAAAAAAAAAAAAAAAAAAAAAAAAGTCATTGACTTGCCTAGAGTCTTATCATATATTATTTTGTTAAATTTAGATTCAAAATTCAACCATTGTCATAATGGTTAAACTTCCAATCATCCAAATTAGAAGTTATAGCTTCAAATCATTTCCTTAGGGAATTAATTTTGGTAAATATTGTAGAAATAAAAATTTTGCACAATGAAATGGACAGGAAGGAATCAAACCCAAGACTTGTAATATAAAAATGCAATTTCTAACCAACTAAGTAGAAGAGGAGTTTGAAAATAAAATTAACTACAAGTTATATAACCTAAAATTTTTATCTATTATCAACAAAAAAAAAAAAAAAAAAACTCCGGCAA